GTGGAAATCCAAGAATAAGATACAGAGTGGCAATGTAAGTGATTGATGGGTAGGGGTCTGATAAAGTTTATTGTAAAGAAAGAGCTGGAAATGTCTTTCAGACTGATATTTCAACCCCTCAACCAGATTCCTAACCAGAACAAACTGCAGCTGTCTTGACAGACAGTCTGCGGAGTCTGGTTGAGGGGTTGGGCTCAGGCAGCCTGGATTTCCACAGCTGTGACACAGGAGCAGGATATTCTATCAAGCCCGCTTTTTTTATTCAATGTAGAATTGCCCTTAGATGAATTTTTTGTATAGATTCTCTGAACAGAATAGCTCATGATACCCATGTCATGATACCCATTGACTGTGGGAGCACCAGCTCGATGTATAGCTAAAAAAACATGTATTCAACACTCCTGCTAAAAAAAAAAATACTGACTTTGTGATAAATTTAAGATGAATGAATTGCCAGCTCTTAAGTTTCCATGTGTGAGTGTGATAGGGAAACAGAATCAGGAAATGGGACTGCTGACAATATAAGAGGAGCAATTCTCTACTCTTAAAGGGATGGTCACTTGTGCTTTCCCCTCTCAATGTGATGAGGTGGCTAGTTTATGTTGGTCAAAAAGTTTTCACATGACTGATATATATATACATTATATATAATACAATATATAAACATTTAGTGGTTCCATGGCTGAAAAAGTTTGAGAACTCTTGGATTAGAGACAAATGAGTTGATTTTTATTATTTGCAAGGTACAGTTCCAAGCTCATCTATGCTCATCCTTTTCATAACTGATAAGGTGATATCTTATTCAAGAAACTAGAATGCAACCCTTTGAAGGGAGAGGAGCCATATCCTACCATTGTATGCACAGAACACTTTGCAGCTTCACATTGTCTACCTATGCTGTTGGATCAGATCCAGGAACAGCAGGTACATAATGCCTCCCCCCCCCCCCAAGTTTAGTCAGGAGAGATGGGGCTACTACCACCTTATTTCTTTCAGAATAGGCTCTTGTACTAAAGCTGGTCCTACCAACTACTGCCTTTTAGGCTTGAGCACTCTGAGTAAACCATGATTCATTTTGGGGTCTTAGATTTTGGTGGGGGCCCTGATCCATTTTTCAAGAGCCTCCTGATTTTGGGAGGGCAGATATTTGTTTTGGCTCTGGGGTGCCAAAAGATTTGTTTTCTATCTGACCCATTATGTGTGTGTGTGTGGGGGGGGGGAGGGCTTCCCAGGCTCTTCTTCCTGTCATTTTAGGCAATTAAGATGTTTCTACTCTAGAGGAGAGGCACTGTAGGCAGGCGCACACATGCTTTAAGGAAGCTTCTTACTTGTTTCTACTCTAGAGGAGAGATGCTGCAGGCTTTAACGCTATTTACTCTAGAAGAGAATGGAAAGCTACCACAGACAGGAGTGCATGCTTTAAGGAGGCTTTAAAGCTGTTTAGAGGAGACTGGAAAGGCACTGCAGGCAGATGTGTGCGCTTTCTCTCACAGACCTGCATCGCACCATGCATTTTTTCCTAGGAATTTAAAGAAGGCTTCTTAAAGCTGCCTACTCTAGAGGAGAGACACTGCAGGCAGTTAAAGCTGTTTACTGTAGATGAGAGATGCTGCAGGTAGGTATGCATACGTTCTCTTCAAGCTTGCACCACACCACACACTACAGCTGTTTCTACTCTCTACTCTAGAGGAGAGGTAAGATAGTAATTTTCAGGGAATGAGGGTTTTCTTTTGCATTGTTGCTGGGATTAATAAAAAAGATTAATCTGTGATGCCGTAAAGCAGAGGAGGAGCCAAACTGACTCCCGCTTGCTTTTGTTGTGGGTGGGTTTTCGTACCAGGAGGGCCCTTACTGTTACATGCTCCCAAAGGTACCAAAGGAAAACACATCTGTGCAGAAGCCTACTGCCTTTTATAACATCAGCCAGGATGATGGGTTGATCAGGGAGGAGAGGTGGGAGACAACTCTCTTATCTCTGCTCTCCCTTATCACACTATCACAACATGTAATGTAATTGCAGACTATATATGTCTGGTAGGTGTGTGGTAATTTCCAAAAAGGAAAGAGCATTTAAAAATGTAAAGCAGCAACAACAGCAGTAGCAGCAGTTCAGCAGATTAGAAGCTTCAAATATAGCAGTAGAGTGATTGTGCTGAAGCCATTCAGGAGGAGAGCCAAGCTTAAAAAGTTATAAAAAACTACATAACTAGATATGAAAGTTAACAAGGCCTAGCTATCTATCTGACCAACTCACAGCAGACATCTTGTCTCTACATGCTCACAGAAGAACACCAATGGAGGACTCTGTGCTTTGCCATTCACTCAGATACTTTGGATAGAAAGAGGCACTTTAGACTATTCTTCAAAGGATTGGAGGAGAGAGCAGAGTAACAGGCAGACAGAGAGGCCAGTGGGGGAGGGACTTTTTCCTGCCAACTGAGACTGGACCTACACTGACCTATATCCCAGGATCTGATCCCAGATTGTCTATTTATCCCAGATTATCTGACTCATATAATCCAGTTCAAAACAGATAATCTGGGATCAGATCCTGGGATATAGGGAAGTGTAGATCCAGCCTAAGTCACCTCCTACCTAAGTCCCCTTCTACATTGCAATATAAAATCCAGACTGTTTGCTTTGAATTGGATTATATGGCAGTATAAAAGTGTCCTAAGTCCTTGATGAGGACCACAAGCTTGTGCAGGATAATTCCAACAGGACCCATGTTGCGGCTAGAGATTGCCACAACATGCAAAGTGGAAAGTGACAGTAAGAGTGGCCATCCAATGGAGTAAACCCAGATTCGCCACCACTGGACAGTCAGAACTCTCTCTTTGCTGTTAACAGTGCATCTGATTTTTAGAACCAATGTGTAGATAGTATTTCTTTTAACCTGCTTCTATCATTAGGGTTTCCAATCCATGGACAATTATTGTAAAATTCAGTTAGAGTTTTGTGATCTACACTAGCAAAAATAACTTCAAGGAAAAGGAAATAAAGCTATCAGCTTAATTAAATTAAACTTTATATGCACTTCTTGATATCAGGCATTCAAACAATGCTACTAATGTTGAGGATAATTACCTGAAAGAACTCCCATAAACCTGAAAGAACTCATAGATGCTATTAAGAGAGATAAAACTGGTAAAGCACCTGGCCCAGATGACTTAATGATGGAGCAAATCAAAAACTTGGGCCCCAAAGTTGAAAACTGGCATTTGAAATTTTACAATCAATGCTTGGCACACAAACAGATTCCCAGACTATGGAGGAAAACTAAGATAACTGCCATTTTAAAACCTGGCCTCCAAAGCCAGGAACTACCGGCCTATCTCACTCCTATGTCATCTATGTAAAGTATATGAGAGGATACTATTAAATGGATTAAGACCTGTTATTGAACCCCAGCTTATTGCACAACAAGCAGGTTTCAGATCAGGGAAAAACTGTACAGCCCAAATTCTTGATCTGACTGAGTACATCGAGGAAGGATATGAGAAAGGTTGCATTACAGGGAGCAGTTTTTGTCGACCTTACAGCAGCTTATGGCATGGTGCAACATAGGAAAATGCTGCAGAAAGTCTACCATATTACCCGAGATAATGATTTTACAAAAACTATTCAGACTCTCCTAGAAAAAAGCATAGCTTCTATGTGGAGTTTCAAGGCAGGAAAAGTAGATGGTGGAGGCAAAAGAATTTGCTTACTCCAAGGCAGCATTCTTGCACTGACCTTGTATAATATCCTTACTAACGATCAGCCACAACCACCACTCACAAAGAGCTTTATATATGCTGATGACCTTGGCCTAACAACATAAGCAAAAGTCTTTGAAACAGTTGAAATCCAACTTGCTAATGCCTTGAAAGATCTCTCCAGCTACTGTAAAGATAACCACCTGAAGCCTAACCCTGCCAAGACACAAGTTTGTGCTTTCCACCTATGCAACCGTGAAGACAACAGGAAATTGAAAGTCATCTGGGAAGGTCAAGAGGTTGAACATTGTTTCCATCCTAAATATCTTGATGTCACCTTAGATCAAACACTAGCATATAGAAAACACTGCTTGAACACCAAGCACAAAGTAGCTGCATGCAATAACATCCCGTGAAAACCTACTGGCAGCATATGGGGTGCAGACCCAAAATTAATAAGAACATCAGCCCTGGCCTTGTCTTAATCAACTGCCGAGTATGCCTGTCCTGTTTGACCTAAGTCTGCTTACACAAAACAGGTGAACATAGCATTGAACAAAACATGCAGAATAATCACAGGATGACTTAAACCTACACCTATTGATAAACTCTACAAGCTAGCTGGCATTGCCCCCCCCCCCCGGATGTGCAACAGGAAGTTGCTGCTAAATGTGAGAGAAATGAGGTTATACACTGTGAAAGCCATCCACTACATGGCTACCAGCCTCCTCCCAGTAGACTCAATTCAAGGAAAAGCTTTATGAGAACTACCACTCCTCTTGGCATTCCCTCAACAATAGCAAGGGTATCCTTCTGGACAGCTAAACCAGGAAATCCCAACTGGCTCCCCGCAAGGGTCTTCCTCCAGGGGCAAACCAAGAATGGGCAACCTGGAAGTTCCTGAATAGACTCAGAAGTGGAGTGGGCAGATCAAAAGACAACCTGGCAAAATGGCACTACCTAAAAGAATCCCATAACTTGTGTGACTGTGGAGCAGAACAGACAACTCTGGATCTGTATGCCTGTCCACTATGTCCTGTCTCATGTACAGAGGAGGAATTGTTGGAGGCTACAGACAATGCTGTTGCTGTTGCCCATTTTTGGTCAAAAGATATCTAGCCACCTGCACGCCTTCTATTTTTATTCATTTTATACTAATTTATGCAAAGCTTTTGATACTAAATAAATAAATGTTGAGGATTGGGATGATTTTACAAAAAAACTAAGGCATATGTTGTGATTGTGAACTTCATTGAACTTTTGAGTGTCAAGAAAAGCAAAACATGCAACATTTCTTCAGGATAGGTTGACAACTTTGTTTTATTCTGTTCAGGATGCCAACATAAATGCTCAACAGAATCAAAATTTTACAGTTTGTCTGATGACAGCTGCTCAACCTAATGCATATATTAACTGACTCAAAAGTTCAGGCACATGATCTCCTCCTGGACGAGAATAAGAGCCGCCGCCGCCTAGTAGCTTTTCTTCATAGCCTGTAACAGAAAAGACAACAGAACTGAAATCATTACAGAAGCACCTCCATTCCATCCCAAGAATATGTTTCCAAGGGTACACGTATCTGTATGTCTTCAAAAGGGCAATCATTTCCATTTTACCACTTCCAACTTTTTAAGATTTCCTGGGCTGAACTGAGATTTAATTTTGGATCCAAATGTCTAGATTCATGAGATAAATATTAATGAATTTCAAGTTACTATTATGTTATACCATACTTTTACGTTAATGAGACTTATTTGGTTATTCAAAGATGTTAAGATTTGAAAGGAAAAAAATTAAATAGGTAAAAATAGATAAGAAACCAAGAATGAAGCAGTGGAACTGGTAAAATGGTGTGAAATAAGTGATGCCTATGTATTTAACTCAATTGTTGTGTTTCCTTTCTCAGAACAGAGAGAGTTTTTTTGTGGGAACCTTCATGTACCTGTTACCCTGTGTTACCTGATCTTGAAAATTATGTGCTCTGACTTATGTAGCCACCATTCTCTAATCCATCAAATAAAGTAAGCTGTTATATGCAGTACTGTGATGATTTAAACCAGTGGTTCTCAACCTGTGGGTCCCCAGATGTTTTGGCCTACAACTCCCAGAAATCCCAGCTGGTTTACCAGCTGTTAGGTTTTCTGGGAGTTGAAGGCCACCTGGGGACCCACAGGTTGAGAACCACTGATTTAAACCATCAACCAATTTAATAAATTCATCTCAGGTATATAAGAGGACCAACATGAAGACTATTGCACAGAGAAGTTGGCTGATCATTCACGGTTACAAACGTCATGGCTTTATGCTTTCTATGATTGTAATATCCCACAATATTCTCAGCTTGTGTCTGCTTACCTTGAGCATCTCTCGAGCTTCTCTCAGGAGCTGCCAGGGAGAGAAAGGAGGAAATGTAGGAATAAAGAATCACGTGAAGTGCATGAAATCTGCAGACCACTTTTGAGTCATATCATATTGCAGAAATGAAATACAAGCACTCTTATGCTATAGTCATTCTCGGGCATTGTCAGCTATACACTTGTGAATCATTCATCCACATACTTGCCCTTTGCCATGGAAGGTTTTTTTTTCCCCACTTTTTAAAAGAACCAGGATGAAACAAAATAACAGTCAACTTCCTGCATTTTGCCATCAGATTATTTTTGATTTTACTCTCAGCCTCACTCTGAGGCCATTGGGAGCAAGGGTGAAAAAATGATGTATTATACAAAATCTGCTCCTTTGTCCTGGCTTTCAAATACTTACAAGCATCAGAATGAGAGATTTCATCTGTTGCATCTGAATAAAAAGAGAGAAAGGAATGTAAAATTACAATCCAGTCCTTTAGTCTTTCACCACCTTTTGTATTAACAGCATGATAATGGCAATAATTCTGTGACAAGATTATTTAATTGGTCTTGTTGAACATCTGAAAAGGTGTAATTGTTAGTCACGTTCAAGTATTTCTAAAAGACAGGTGGCAAACTGGATCTCTATTTTTATCCCAGCAGACATATGTTTACCATGATGCCTGGAAAGGAGTATCAGTACTTGAATGCCTGGTTGGCTGAGAGCGAGTAAGATCTTTGTCTTGACCTAAGTACTTAAATAATGTGATTGGCTTCACAATTGGTAAAATTAAAGTTTTAGAAGATTTTCTTTATCTTTAATGAAATGCTGACAAGAGAAAATAGGTGCTGATCTACAAAAAAAAAAATGGGGAAGGAAAATAGCTAAGGCCCTACCAATCATAGACCCATCCTATAAACAATGAATATGTAATGTATTGCTGTGTAAATATTGTTTTAATATAATATAGTAATAAAACTTTATTTGTACCCCGCTACCATCTCCCCATGGGACTTGGTGCAGCTTACATGAGGCCAAGCCCAAAGTACATCAAACAACATCAATTTTTTTTCTTTTTTTCTTTTTTTTAATTTTTTTTCTTTTTTTATTTTTTTTTTAAATTTTTTGTGTGGCTTTTATATTTTTGTTTTTTTTTTTTTGGTGGACTTGGGGGTAGGGGGATGTATTTCTTACTTTTTTCCTACTTTCCTATCATCTTTTTTAATATTCTCCCTCTTTCGATGTTATTTTTAAAACCTTAATAAAAACTATTATAAAAAAAAACAACATCAATAACACAACATTAATAAACAATCAATAAAATACAAATCATATAAATCACATAACAAAACAACTATCAGTAGTGACGTATAAACATTTTTAAAATGGCTGGGCCAAATGTAATAAATTAAAATTGAAAATATGCTGACGTGAACAGGTAAAAAATATAACTGGATAGGATTTTCAGAGAGAAACGAGGGAACAACAATCCATCCTAAGTCAGTATTAAAATGCATTATGAGGGCATATTGCTGAGAGTACTCCTATTCTGGGAAGGCACACTGGAACAACCACGTTTTCAGGCTCCTCCTAAAGACTGCCAACGTTGGAGCATGTCTAATGTCCCTGGGAAGTGAGTTCCAGAGTAGAGGGGCCACTACCGAGAAGGCCCTCTCCCTCGTCCCCACTAATCAAGCCTGAGAGGGAAGTGGGAGTGTGAGCAGGGCCTCTCCAGATGATTGAAGAGATCATGTGGGTTCGTACACAGAAATGCAGTCACGCAGGTAGGCGTAGAAGTTTTAGCTTCCTAGAAGTGAAATGAGAACCTAATACCATCTTGAGAGAACATGATGGGATGGTCATAGCTCAGTCCCATTACCAACAACAACAAAATCAATCATTATCCCCCTGCCCCAAAAGAACGAGCACAAGGTGAAGCTTACCTCCAGATACCAGGATGCAGGCAATAGCTATGAACACAAGGAGGAAACAGATCTTCATTGTCCTGGGATTCAGAAGCTTCCTAGAACTCTAAACTCTGTTCAAGAGACTGTCTATTGAAGCAAAGTCCTGCTTGCTTCCCTTATAAAGGGAACAAAACCTAGCTTGAGGGGCTGGCACATTGCAGTCCTTAGGTAAAGACTGAAATTAATTAAGTCATAAAGAATTAACATTTAGAAGATAAACAATGGGCAAGTGGATGTGAGACTTACTGCCAAATTTCCCCGTACTTAAAGGTCAAGTGTATGGGCCCTGGGCATGGGAAGGAATCTCAGCCATTCTGAGTTGATTGAGTCCTTTCAAGGAGTCCGTTATTTTAACTCCCATGTCTGAATGACTGAAGGGATGAAACATGTGATGTATGCTAACCTTCATCTTCTATAATGCTGAACCTGCATAGCTGGCAATAATTAATTACCACCTTCCTATATAATTTCTTCTGTTTTCACCACATTGAAAATTCATTTTGTTTGGGAGAAGACAGAGCCACGATAGTTGCTCTGCTGAGCAGTTCTGCCCATGTATTCCATGTAGAAAATCGACAATCTCCTTGTTCTTCTTCTTGCTCTTGCTTTGAAATGACCAAAGGAACCCCCATAATATTTACTCTTTTTAACCTCCATCAGAAGCCCAAACTCATTCTGAGCTTTTGCCCTTCTGACATCTTCTCTCAATGTGCTGGCTAATTGTTTGTACTCCTGCTTTGGGATTTTCTACTTCTTACATGTCTTCTACAAGTATCAGATCTTCCAAAGTTCCGATCTGATTCCTACCATTTTCCTTCCTTTTTAATTGTTTTTTTTTTGTAACTGTTTATTCAATGGTTTCTATGCTTAATGTCCTGTGGTTCTCAACCTTTACTTCTCCTGGTGTTTTGGACTCCAGTTCCCACAATTCCTAAAAGCTGGTAAGCTGACTGGAATTTCTGGGAGCTGAAGTCCAAAACACCGGGAGGACTAAAGGTTGGGAACTGATGTTCTAGAGCAGGGGCTCTCAAACTTTTTTAGCCACAGAGCCCTTTTTGAAGCAAACGTTTCCGTGGAGCCTCAATAAATATTTATATAATAGAGATAGATAGATTAGATAGATAGATAGATAGATAGATAGACTATCTGTCTGTCTGTCTGTCTGTCTGTCTGTCTGTCTGTCAGGCATGAGCAAACCTTTGGTCATGGGGCTGCATTGCATTTTAAAATTCAACAGACGGGCTAGGCCAGTGACAAATGGGCGAAGAGTATTTGTGTGAACTAATTTAAAGAAACATGAACAAATTCCTATGCACACTGCACATATCTCGTTTGTAGTGCAGAAGGGAAGGAAAGAACAATACAACATTTAAAATGAAGCAAAATTTTAGCCAACATAAACTTAATACTATGTCAGTGGAAGAACCCAGGGGCCATTCGATCCAATCCAATTCTGCCATGCAGTAAAAGCACAATCAAAACATAATAATACATAGGACGTCATGGATGATAAGTTAATTCAATCTTAAATCATCATAGGGTTAACATCATAGGGTTAAGCCAGGAGTAAAAAACTAAGCATGGCTTCTAGATCAGGGTTTCTCAATCTAGTGAGAAGTTGCTAACTTGCTAGGGATTCTGCAACTGAGAAAGACATGGTGTTTTAGCTGAATAAGTTTCCTTGAGATCTGAGAATTATCCCAAGGGTATGAATCTATTATATGTAAGGGTATGTTTAGCCTGGTGAAAAAAGTTTGAAAAGGGATATGATAGGGACATTTCAATGTTTGAAAGGATGTAATATAGAGGGGAGAGGGATGGAGTTTATTTTTCGTTGCTCTAGAGCAGGGGTTCTCAAACTGTGCTCTGCGGAGCCCTTGGGGCACAGACCCTTTCCCCCATCGACTCCCTGGCTGCCCAGACTCTTTTTCTTACCACCCAGATCCTTCCCCCTTCCACACCTTCTTTGCTTCCAAAACCCTATTTCCCTCCCAAAGCCCAGGGAGTGATTTAAGATTGAATTAACTTATCATCCATGACGTCCTATGTATCAGGGCCTTGTGTTGTTCTCCATCCCTTCCAATGGTGACAGGGCAGGGCACCACTTCACCAGGGGCACCTTATACACAGCTGATAATCCAGGAAGCCCGTAAGTTTAGAGTAGTGGTTCTCAACCTGTGGGTCCCCAGGTGTTTTGGCCTACAACTCCCAGAAATCCCAGCCAGTTTACCAGCTGTTAGGATTTCTGGGAATTGAAGGCCAAAACTCCTGGGGATCCACAGGTCGGGAACCGCTAGTGTAGAGAGTTTCAAGGATAGGTTAAGCCTCTTGCTTAGGATTGCAGATGTGTCCTGAAACATATATGCAGATCTGTGGTTGCACTACAAGTGACATTCTGCTATGTCTGCATTTGGTCAATTAATGAAACCACTGGGAACTGATAATATCTTTTTCTAGTCTTCTTGAGATTGAGCCCACAGTTGGCATCATAAGAGTGAACCCAAGGATTGCTTATTTGTATTTACAAGACATTTATTCTGTAGCTTTGGTGGGCATCAGAGATGTATAATGAGAGGCTTCTTGATTAATCTAAGAATTAGCTAATACCTGATATTTGGAAATTCAGCACAAATGAAATGCATTCTTGGCGGTTGCTTGAAAACCTTTGGAGGTTTTCTCTCAAAATTATGGCTGCTTTCTTGGGGTGATTTTACACTTTAAAGATATAGAACTGTATATTCTGTATATTCACTGCCACAGCTGCATTCTATGTAATCCTGGATATTAGTCAGGGAACTCTGGTATCTCATCATACAACAAATTATAAGATGCAGCCTTGGTAGTTAAAAAGTATTGTGCAAAAGACCTCTTGATATTGTAATGAATTATATGAAGTGAACATCTACACAGCATCCATTAGTTATGTTGGTCCTTTTACTGTGTTTTTCTTTGCTGTTAATAGTGCATCTACTTTGTAAAACCAAGGTGTAGATAATATTTCCTTTAACATTATTCAAGTGGCAGGATATGGAACTTAGTGGTCTCACTGTGAAAATCAGAGTTTTATGATCCTCAGTAGTGAAAAGAACCTCAAGGAAAATGATATTTAAATATCAGTTCAATGGATGTAAAGATTATATGAATGCCTTAATATCAGGTATTCTCCTAATTATGTTGTAGATGAGGATGATTTTACAAAAATGAAGGCATGTGTTGCAGTATGGTTGTGAACTTCATTGATTTTTTTGAGTGTCAGGAAAATCACACACCGTGAAAAACACAGGCAACATTTCTTGTGGATGGGTTGGCAACTTTATTTTATTCTGTTGTGGATGCCAATATAAATGCTCAACAGAATCAAAATTTTACAGGTTCCCTGGTGACCGCTGCTCAGCCTAATGCACCAAATACTTCACTCAAAAGATCAGTCAGATGATTTCCTCCACCATTAGAAGAGCTGCCACCTAGTAGCTTTTCTTC